AACTAGTGGTGAGAAAATTTTGAGAGGGATTGATTTAAAAGCTGAGAGAGTGAAAGAAAACTGAGGATAAAACGTTTTTAAGCAGAGAAGAAGAGGAACAAAATTTGAGTACGGAAATTGAGGTCCTATATTTATCTTCTTTTCAACTTTGAGCCTATAACTTTTAACATTTACAAAATTTTCCTTTATTAAATTTGTTTTTTTAACCCCGTATTTACTTTTTTTTTTTTTTCACTCGTCTAATGCCCAACACTTTGGCTTTAACCAATATGGACAAGATAAAGTAACCAATTCCATTTTAAATTACACATGCGTAACAAGAAATTTGAAGTTAGTATGCGCTCAAAATCAACATTTCTCTTCTCTCGTATTACAACAGTACACATACATGTCTTAAACCAATACCAAAAAATCGATTTTAAGAATCAAATCAAAACCTCAGATTCTTGGAAGTCAGATCAGATTCAGAGATTAACCAATTTTTCTTCTCTTAACCGTCTTCTTCGAGCGAATACTTTTCAAGAATTGCCACTGTTGCTTCCTTCGCGCTGAATTTAACAACACAAATGTAACAGCTTTCTGTAAGTATTAGCTCAAGAACTTCACAAACATTTTAAACTTGTTAACTCTATTCATCTTATATTGATTGATATGTATCAACAAAACTACCAATTGGCATACCTTCCGGGTCTAATGATCTTATACTTTCCGACTTTAGTCACGTCGACAATTGTGGATCCTGCGCGACCCGATGGAAGCAAACCACCATCATAGACATAAGCACAATGCTGCCAAAGATTCTCAAAATCATTTACGCAAACGCTGCTTCTATCACCGCTTAGATTAGCACTTGTAAGAGCCAACACACTACCTGAACCTCTCGATACTTCTCTAATGAATTCACAGTCTGGAACCCGTACCCCAATAGTATCAATCCCCGGATTTAAGGACTTTTCAAGAATGCTTGATTCACCTGTTTAGACACTACAAGAAAACTCTCACATAAAGAGATCATATCGATGCAACCACATTAGGAAGAAGATGCAAACCTCGCCGAAGTACGAGAGTGACTGGACCGGGCAAGAGAGAATCAAGTAAACCGTGAGGTAAGTGGTTTGTGGTAGCAACTCTCTTGATATCTAATACATCGCCAACGCAGATGGCTAAAGGGCTTGTAAGCTTACGACCTTTGATCTCATATATCCGGTTAACAGCTTCTAAAGAACTGTTATGTCATATAACAACAGTTCAGTTTGGTAAATCTAAAAGCTTATTCAGCTTATCAATGAAGAGTTTTCTATTACCAAGCATCACAAGCGAATCCATAAAGCGTATCGGTAGGCACAGCGATAACTTTCTCGGATTTGATTGCTTCGATAGCTTCTTGTGCATAAGCTTCGGTTGCGGGATGAACAATGCATGAATTGCTCACTACACAGATTTCTGCTCTCTGTAAACTACAAAACATCTTCTTTTGCAATCCCCATCTCAATCGTTTACTGTGGTTAGCAATCGAATAGAATCTTATCTCAGGGACTCCTAATACACATCAGAATTGATGAATACTCATTAGCAATTGGACTAAAAACACAGTTCCCTTATTCGATTCAATGATGGTGGAATTGATTCAGGTTAGGGAAAAGAGATAGTAAACACGAAAGTTCCTTAGTGAAAAAGAGCAGAAATTTCAGATACAAATTACAAACGAAGAGAAACCCAGAACATTCGATTCCCTTTTAAAGTTGCATCCAATCTTATCAAGCAAAACCCAAAACCAGGTCACAGGACAAAAAACCAAGCGCGAAACAACTAAAACAGATGAAAAAAATCCAACCTTTACGCAGGAGAGGAGACGACGGCGCCGGAAAGATTCCGGGAAGTTTCTCAGCGAGCCTCGTGGAGAAGTTCATCGCCGTAAGCTTCACTTGGACGTTCACCGTCGTCGAGAAGAAGGGCAAATAAAAAAGACTATGCCAAAAAGTCAGGAACAGAGAAATAAGAGTCCTTTTTTCCTTCTCCGTATTGGCACGTGATTGCCTCGTGACTCCAATGCCAAAAAGTCAGGAAAATTGAAAATAAAAGATGTTTTTTTTTAAGTTTGTCAATCTATACTTTTATTATTTAAATTTGGTGATATATACTTTAATTTAGTTAAAATTCTATTATGCCTTTGATCATAAATATTAGATTTAATCATAATTTATGAAATAATTTACCATAATATTTATTGGCTCAGTTGATTGATGAGTTAGAAATTCTTGATTCATGTCTCAAACTCGAGGCTTTAATCAATGAGAATATTTTTTAAGATAAAAAGAATCAAACAGTAACCTCGTAAATCAAGAACTCTAGTTCGGTAATGAACCGTTAAGAAACTAACACAAATTGGTTTGCAATTTTGATTTATTCTCGAACAGTCAAGAAACCAATACAAATTCGTTTTCTGTTTGTTTAACAACATGTTGTTGTTAATGAATTATAGAGTTTGAATGCAACTACCCATTCTTTTAATTCGAAACAATAATAACAATCTTTGGAAAAAAATTATGCATAAACCTAGGGGTGGGCACAAT